CGCAAGCCTCTCCCACGGTTCCTTCTGATGGAAGTACATCTCCGCAAACCCCAATTGAAAAGGTCTTCTCTCTTTCTCTAAACATTACTCGCTACACCCACGACCAATATATTTCTCATCCCCTCACCAACCCTCTCTATGGTCCATTCAAACCTATTGACCCGAAGAGATCTGGAATCACGGCGCATTTGAACAAAGGCTTAGAACCTAGTATGTGGAGTAAAGGATTGGCGGATTGGGATAGCGATGCGGGGAAGAGGAGTGCATGGAATGACGAGGACAATGACGGAGGTGAAGAAGGAAATAGCTTAAGAAAGAAGAGGAACGATTCGTCAAGTTCGAGTGTACCTTTGAGATTGGTTGAAAGGGATTTGGAGGCTCGGAGGGAAAGAAGGCCGAAGGTTATGGAGGGATTGGTGGGGTTAGTTGGAGAGGGAAATCGGTGAATGTCAATGGGAGAAATGGCGTTCTGTTGAAGTATAAATGACAGGCTGCAGATACTAGCCACGGCCTTGTGATAGGAAGGAAGCACTTTCTATTCAGGTTTTGTGGGATGAGGATGAAGGTAGTCAGGACAACAACTCAAGTGCTGAGGTTAGTCCAATCAGGGGAGTCGCCAATTGGTTGGCATTTGCAGGTCGACAGGGAACAAAGTACTTGCTAGAGAAGCAAGATGCTTCCTGTGGATAAGGACTTCCCGAGTTTTATCACTTATTTACATGTGTACTGCTAGTGTTCTTTGGGTCACGAAAGAAACATGTATTTAGACTATCCATGCCCATCGCGGTATGTATATATCATTGCCACTTTGGGCGTTATGCGTCATTAATCTGGATGATAAGCAACCAACTCGTGCAATTTGTCTCCAGGTAATCGTTGGCCAAATTTCGTAAGATAAGTAGCATCAAAGATCCCTCAAGTTACTTTTCTCGAAGCAAAAAAGAGGACCACAATTCAATCTCTCAATTTGTCTTCTCCAGCCAAGTTTCTCTTACTCACGGTGACCATTTCCGAGTCAACTGCAATGCTCAACACTTGATTCGCATCTCGTAACCTTCCAACCCCATCCTTTGATGTTTCAGGACCAGCCAGAATCTTGATTTTCCAACAAGAAATATATGTCTCGAGAGCATACTCAGACGTTCTCCACGCAACCATGGGACTACACCGATTGATGATGGGACCAACTACTACATTAATGTGAATTTCGGGCTGTATATTTCCACCTGGCCGGTATCTACGTATGTAACCTTAAAAGAGGCTCAAGCTAAGCCAAGATTTAACTAATCCGTAGATAGTCTAAGTATCAATTGCATCATCTGCACTTACAGAATAGTTTATGTATTCTGATAGACGGTAAGACTACTTTCGGATACATCTCAGATAATTGCAGGCTTGATATCATTGATACTCGTGGAATGGTACGTCACGCCATGATAAACTACATTCTTCAGGAAGCTGGGCTGGGAATTGTAGCGCATACTGCTGCCTCGAAATTGCTGGTTACGGATCCGGCATTGGAAGATTTCATGGGAGTAAGCGCTGATGAGCTTGGACAAAGGACCATGAGTTTTAATATGCTTTGTTATCTTGTGTTGCGCGAGAGATTGGTATAGGATTGGGGAACGTTTTTATTTTATTTTTTTTATTTAAAAAAAAAGGCTGATGAGCGGCTTGAGTTGGGGAGAGTATTGGATTCGGGGAATGGTGTGGAAAGGGATTGTTTGATGGAGGTGCTTTGGAAAGGGGAACAGCTGTTGTAGCGTATGAGTGATGTTCACATGTGGGTTAAGGAGTTCGCTTCGACGGCTTTCTTGAGATGCACATAATACCAAAGACAGAAGACACCTAAAACTACCTAGTTCTAAAACCACAATCTTTAGGCGGTCATGTGGAGTCTACTGTTCTGATAACCTGGACACAAAGCGTAGAGGGGCTTCCATAAAATACTGAGATCTCACTATACCAGTTTTACTTCCTATCGACCTTGATGCTAAGCAGCTAGGTTGGCCACTGTTTGGAATGGAATTTAACAGCAAAACTATCCAAAATACTAGGTATACATCTTTCAAAATTGCGATTCCAAAAGCCGAAGAAGAAAGATCCCATTCCATTTCTACCTATCGCTATCTATTATTCCATTATTCTATATTTTATTCATAACGTTACAGATTCTCAATAAATTACGAAAACTTGGTTTACAAGGCTTTATCAATCAGCTTTGGGATAGCTAAGCTGAAGACATCATTGGGATCGTACATCCACTTCAACTCAAGCAAATTACCATAGTTCGGACCATAAATCTTAGACAGAGACAGCTCACTTTGTCGAGTCAAAGAAATATAGGCTCCCTCCAATATATTTTCGGCTTTTGTTCTCTTAAGTTCTCCCAGAAAGTTTTCCCCCCATCTGTTTGCATCTTCAAGATTTTTCACATCACGAACTATCGGCAGTATTTCAAGCATGAAATGCGGCTCTCTTGCTCCAAAAACAGCTGTGAGGTCTGTCTTTGTTGATATCCCACGGAGTTCCTGCATGGAAAAGCCCAGGCAATTCCCCGGCAACCGTTTTGAATTCCTAGCCAAAACTGCCACAATCTCTGGTGTTATGCTCCGTACATTTAGTGTAAGAGGCTTGCCATATCCACTAGTAGGAAGTCCGGCATTGAAATTCATCCATTGAGAAATCGTAGTGGAGACGACTTCATTTTGGCTGACAGGCGCAAGTGATTCGATATGAGCCAGCAATTGACGTCCAGTTCCGATATCCTCAGAAGCCCACATAAATTGAACCTCGAATACCTGTCCTAGGGAGCTTGGGAAGATTGATTGTTGGACTGTCAGTTGTAGAGGTAATCCTCGCGCGGATAGCTCTTTGAATCTGCTGTTAAAGATCTCTACTGTTTTGAATATGTCTTCTGATTCGAAGACGATCTTTCCAGCAAGAACCTAACAAACTGTCAGTTTGGTTTCTTTGCTTGAACCGAAAATGGTGGCAAGACCTTTTGCAATGGGTAAACCTTGATTCTTAACTCAACAATAATCCCTAATGCGCCGCCTCCACCTCTAACAGCTCGCAATAACCCGTCTTCTCCTTCAACATCAGAGTCTCTGATCTCTCCATCAGAATCAACAACTTTCACACCGATAATCTGATCTACACCTAATCCATAAGCAGCACTAAACGGGCCATAACCACCATACATCGCCCATCCTGCGTAACCCATAGATGGAATAGCTACTACCGGCGTCATCAAGCCTTCTCTGCTCAGTTCACGAGCAAGATCTCCCTGGAGAACACCTCCTCCAATGACTGCAGAATGGCGGGTGGATGAAACGCGGATCGATGCGAGACAGCGAAGATCGATTGCTAAAGCGGAGGATGAAAATTCGGAACCAAAATAAGAATAGCCGCCACAACGTACTGTAATTTGGATCTGGTGGTTTGTGGTAAAAGATATCAATGCGGATATGTCTGCCATCGTTGCCGGTTTCACAATGGCAAGTGGAACGGCATCATTGGATAAGCAGAATGTTGAGCGTGCAGCTGCATATTCTGGAGAAGTGGGAGTCACCAGTCGGATATATGGGAGACGAGTTTGAATGAAATATTTAAGGATAGAGAGATGGAATGATGATTGCGACATCGCGAAAGTTGCCAACAGGAGAAACAGAAGAACCGGGAGATGCCACACTCGGAGAAGAGATTGTCAAACTCATCTTTCCACGAGATTACAAGAGAACATATAGCTTCTTGCACTTTGGCTTGCCGATCCCATCAATACTACACAGGAGGCTATGATGTACACTTTTGGGGGCTTTAGGAGCTCGCTTCAAGCTTCAGGTACGCTCCTCGTATCCCACAACTAATCGAACGAAGATCTACCCTATCACGTGGATGCATTCCTATCACATCAACATCAAAATATAACAAGTCCCATAAGAAATAGGATGCAAGTAATCACCAACATTCCTCATTGTTGGAGAGTCATCTAAGATGGTGTTAATGATCAATGGAGAAAATTGTAGGAACGGAAATAACACGTGTCTTACATCAGGTAAGGCTCCATGCTTACTTTTTTGGTTTCGAAGATGACGATGTTCGCATGCGGCGCTTCTTCGCTTCTATTAAGATAAATTATTAATAGCACATTTGCCGCGGCGTTGCAGAAAAGTTATGGTTCCATCTTATTGCTGCCCGCTGCCCGGAACCCACTTCATCAGCCTTCAAACTTCCGTGTTGTGGGATCACCTTGAATAGTAAAGAATGTCTCACATCGTATTGGGTATAAATTTAACACCCAGCTATGCTACTACTAACTATAGCATGTCCTGAAACCCATTTTTGAACCAACATATCCGCAATATTAGCTATTTTTGATTAGGATGATGTATACGAATATGGGGGATCATAGAGAAAGAGATTGAAGTTGGAGATTGTTGCAAAATATTGGTATGAACAGATTGTCTCATGACTTAGACAAACAGACTGTATGCAGACTTTCAATGCCGAAACTGACCAAACATTGGAGTACACTCGTTATTTTGAGCGATCTGCTTGTTTCCATTAGACTACACAGGAATAAGGCCATTTCATTATCTGTCTACATCCCGGACTATTGACAAGCTGGGCCCGAAAAGGTTGTTGGTCTCCATTACAATGTTTTTGGTTTAGAGCCCAAGTGGATGAATTTCTCTAGTTGCCATAATCACACCGCCGTCGAGGATTAGATATCAGATATTGTGGCACGATCAGTGCGGAGTCCAAATTCAATCTGATCTTCAATTTTCTGCGAAACTTTTTTAGTTGTCTCATTCGAGTCAAGATATTGACATGTGGAGGTCTCACTTTACCAACACAAGGAAGCTTAGTAGCAGCTTCTGTTGAAAATTTTGTGACAAACGATATGGATTAGAGGAAGCAAACATCAGTCAGGTACTCTGAATTACCAATCTGAGCATATCTGGTGAGCACAGAATCCTTTAAATTAATCTTTCATTTCAATTTGTTTCCGCGACAACTTCAATTTCCACTTTTGCGGCTTCCTTCGCCAACCTCACAATCTGCACACAAGTGCTCACCGGGAATGGCTCTTTGACCCATTCACCCCATATTCTCTCTACTGTTCTAAATGATGCAAGTTAGCAGAAGGTCCCCGGCCATCATCTTCAATTCTCCAATTGCTCCTCATACGACCACAATCATCAGGACTTCATAATTGGAACTCACTTCAAGTCTCCCATATCCACCAAAAATACACGTCTCTGTACCACCTTATTCAATCCGCTTCCGCTGGCCTCCAAAACAGCTTTCAGATTCCTCATAATCTGCGTAGTTTGCGCTGCTACTCCCCCAGAAATTATCCGCCCATCGCCAGGTAACTCCCCCATCAAACCACAAAGATAGACTGTGGATCTGTTGGATGGAATCGTATTGCTATGAGAATAATTTCCATTCGGAGGAGCGATAGTTGGGATTGTGAGAGCGGTACGAGAGGGTGCTCGCTCGTGGATGTTGCTGGATCTGTAGGAGCCGGTTGTGGACGACATTGTTATTACGATGATAATAATTTATTTTGTGTGAGTATATTTGTTATGTTTTCAGATGTTCAATTGAGGTTGACTGGTGAGACCTTGAATGTTCTTGTATGTTCTAGACCCTTGAAATTGCTATGACGTCACATTATAAATTGTGATTAACGGCTTCTTCACACCATCCAATGCTGGCAGTTTCAGCCGCTGACACATGATTTCTTCTCGGGTACATGGGTATGCTATGTTCCAGTGATTGATATTCTTGATTTATTTCACGGCGAGTTGTTATCACCAACAACATGCCAACTATTGTTGAACACAGAGGTATCAATCTATTGCTGTTCCATTCCATCTTTTTCGAGTTTTCCACAATCATCATCCGAATTCAGAGTTGGTCTTAGCAAGGCTGAGATTACGCCCTTCGGTACTTAGAATTGCAATCTTGCAATGACACCTAGTCCATGTATCCAAGTGGTGACAAGTGGTGATATGGATATAAATTGTCTTGAGGAAGAAGAGGCCAAACACAACGAGCGCCTTATGATGCCGTCAGGAAATCAAGAATACTTATATCTCCCCGAACAATCTCGAAGTATTTACATCGGTATTCCAATCAATACATGCCTAGTACTTCCCGAATCGTCACAATAAAATGTAGTCGAAGAAGCCACTGTTGGCCCGGGAATGGTCGGAATACAGAACCGTTTTGATGTCGTGGGCGTCAGATTATTTAGAATCCGGGCCGCTAGTATAAGATTATAACTAGTTGCTCAAATTGGCGCGATCGTTATTGCCAGTATTGTTGAGCTATTAAGTACTTGTAGTATCACACATGCATTCATTGATTGAACACGCTCGGAAAAGGGTCTTGAATTGAAGCTGTTGGATGAAATCTCCTTGATCATAAAAAGCATTCGAGGGATTTGGATTTGGATTTGGATTTGGAGGTATTGATGGAAGGCATTCTTGATCATCTGTGGGGAACCAGAACTCTAGTGTTGGAAGCGTTGATGAAGACCCCCTTAATCATTGGGAAAGATCGAACATCCTATTTTGAGGTTCAAGATGAGCATTACTGCTCGCTTTTCATCCCTTTTTCTCCTGAGATTCATTAATATAATGGTTGTTTGCTGAGAATAGAATGAAAGTGCTATCGAATTGGGGGTATTAGCGCAATATCTTTTACTCAGTGTCTATCTTAATCAATTGGACTTGGTCGATAGTGCGGTCTCGTGAGGGAAAAACGAGTATGCCGTGGCAATATCACCAATTCTGGTAAGTGGTTTATCATAACGCGAGATATTTATTGATTCTTCAATTTTAAAATCAAACATAATGACTGGGAAGAATTAATCCAGGCGATGAAGAGCCCCATGCTCCCGGGGGCTATGCTAAGGTCAGATGAACGTTGCTTATGAAAACCTCTGCCAACGGTCATTCATATCCTATCTATAAAGAATCCTGTCACGAAGAGACTTTATTTTGATTTTGGTATCGGTATAGTTGGCATTAAATCATGTTCAATGTCTCCCATTGCCTGGACTGTAGTCCGATATTCTGAGATATTCCAGTTTGATTCATTTGGAGCTATAACTCTGTTTAAGATTCTTGATTCTGTTGAAGAGTTGAACTCGCATGAAAAATTGGATCCATTTTCAGAGTTGAATCGCTATCTAACTTCGGCAAGCCACATTTATTAGTCTACCAATCTGGACTGCTGAATATTCGGTCCCTGACTACTGAAAAAAGTAATGTGTAGTCCTATGATGGAGCCATCAATCATTCCCATCACACCTTCGTTAAAATTTGGGACGATTTGTTCAATTCTTGCGTGTATGAGCCTAGAAACTTCTGAATTTGACCACGACATACAAGTTGCTGGCGTCACACACACCGAGTATGAAGTGTTTTATTCATAACAAAGAAATTTAGAAGGCGACTTCAAGATCGTCAAATTTCTGCAGGTAAATCTTCACATGTATTGTTTTTGTAGTTGCATATATCATATATGTCAATAGGGAGAACTTCTAGCTTCTATTCAGTAATTTTTGGGATTCTGTGTAGCCATATTTATACATATAAGTGAAGCACCGATTTTTTCTGGATCTGATGTAAGATTACCATAGGTAGATGATTGAGACAATGACATTGTGAGCAGTATGTTGGCTCCATTACTTTGAACCGAACTTATCCAGTCCTTAATTTCTCTGTCCGCAACGAGGAAGAAGATGCCAGACCCGTCATTGGAAGGTAATCTAGGAACACAATGAACCAAAGAATGCGAGGAAGTTTCTCATAATGCCTATATGAGTACCTTCAAAATCCTCTCCTTCCGTCACATAAGTATACATTATCTCAATCAACTAACACTCGGACTTCAGCGTGTTGTGTAAGGTCCTGCATATTCTCAAATGCCACTCGAAGATTCCCAAGTAGCTGCCTATTCTTCCAGAGGATGGAGAAAGCGAAGGAAATGGGCAATACAAAGCTTCTACATATCGTCCGGGCTCTGGGGCGACTCTTACAAGTATATGAGCTGCAAGCTTTGAAGGTTCAAGCTGCTTAAGACTTTCAGGTACACTTTTTGAATTCTGGAGACTCCGCATCGCCCTTTTGTAACATCATAATGGTTGAATCACCTTCAGATAGGCCTCCCTCCATCATCGTTCACCTAATACGCCATGCCTCGGTACTATTTCTACATACCGCTTCCTGTCAAAGGTCTCATTAGCTGAATTTTATTAGTCAAACCACTGGGAAGGAGGACTTGACTTTGGCTTGTCTTCTAAAGGAGAACGCCAATGTGACGAGCTCTACGAAAGTATGCGAAAACACGCAGGCTATATTACTCATATTTTCTGTTCGCCTATGAAACGCTGCTTAGAAACTGCTCGAAAGGGTCTCCTTGAGGCGACGAACAGGGGCACCAGGATCCAAATCATGCCTGCTCTTGCCGGTCGGAATGGTCAAGCACCCTGGAATTTACGAGAGGAAAACCAGGAAAATGATATCAGTGGTCCTTGGGTCAGTGAGGTAGCAGATCCTAGGTCAAAGTCCAAGGATGCTGATTTTGTTATGAAATGGTTGACAGGGAAAGACTTGTCTGTGCAGGCAGCTCAAAAAGTATTGGAGGTTGTGGTTGTGAGCCAAGCTCAACTATTGAAAGATTATTATGGAAATTGAAAGGAGGTAAGTTACATAACATCACTATCTGAGCTCGACCACCTGGGTTTGTTCACTTACAGTCTGCAGGTAATCATGGCTGGCCCAATGCAACGATCGTCACCTATATTTTAGATCGTGACGGAAAGTGGACTCGTTGTCGGCTCCAGAAGACAATTGACAAACAGAGAAATTCTCAACAAGATTGGAAAAAACAAATTGTAGAAGCAGCTCATGAAGAGCAAAGAAAACAAGAGGAAAAAACCAAGAAAGAGCAGGAAGAGAAATTGGACAAACAAAAGCGGGAGTTATTGAAGATACAAGTTAGTTTTTCCTGTTCCATTGACTCTAGGGCTTGCTCACGCAAGTGGCTGATACTAATTTTTCAGGATTTCATGCTCATGGTTGATCGCGAAACCGATGAAATCGTTACATTCGGGAGGTTCCAAGAACTACTTAAGGAGCGATATGCAAAAGAATTCTCATCAGCAGCGGAGTCTGTTGGAAAGAAACCGAAGCCTGTTGCGAAGAAATTGAAGCCAATTAAAGGGAAAGTGAAAGCGAAGGCTGCTTTAGAAAAATCCGAGCCTGTTGCCAAGAAAAGAAAACGAGGATGATAGCAGGAAGGCGTCTGTTGCTGAACTATCTTGATCGCCACTTAGCCAATGTCTGACCAGACAGATACTAGTTCCTAGTGAGCTCGAGGTTGCTCGCGGTTGTCTCAAACACCAGTGAGCTTGAGTTCTATCTATAACTTGGGCCGTTGGCTGAATCCGGGGTAAGCTCTTGATCTTTTGCACTCCGGGTGTGGTTTTCAATTGAACTGCATACCTGTTTAGGTTTTCACAATACCTTACCTTCTGTGTCCTTTGGATAAAGTACCACAGAAATACTAAACGCCATAGTTTTCCCGACATGAGAATCATGAGATTCAGTGATAATTACCTATGATATGTGAACTGATTAGTTGTATAGGTAATCCGTAGGTAAGAGGAAGCAAAGGGTGTCGAGGATGTGTCGTTCAAATTCTTACGAGTCGGCAACTTTTGCTAGCACCAAGCTTAATTTCTACCCACCAGGCGCTAAAAAGCAAACCCCGGACGTACTGATTCAAACCCTTAACATTGAACATTCACTCACAAGGGAAGAATTAATCGGAGATTCTACGATCATGGAGCGTATTACAACTACCTACCTACCTACAGAGTGTTTAGTAGAGTTAGGCATCTTATGGTCTTAAATTCACTATACACGCGTTAAGACTCTTGTGTTAATCCTTCAAAAAAGGTTCTCCAAGGATACATATACGGAGTTACATCGACAAGATGTGATGGAAGCAGGCGGTATGCATTGGATAGTAACGGACATCATTATTCGAAAACTTAGGAGTGGGATCCTGTGCCACGACAGTACTTTGGGGCTGATTGTGACGGTTTAGATTCGTTGGAGGCTGATTCGAGCCTTTGCAATTTCCTAGTGAGTGAATGGTAAGCACTATGTTTCGTGGGAGCGGCTATGCGTAAAGTTTCGTATGCGCTGGGCCTATTCTTGGGGGTCAAAACATTTTTCTTTTCTTTTCCTTTTAATATTCCGTTTACAACTTCCCTCATTTCCATCTAAGTCTCTTGAGCTTCCACACGTTTGTTTGAGCATTCAAAAAAACCATCGTTCAGTATGAACACCAACGCTCGTCGAAGAGGTGCGAAAGTCGCACCATCCCACTATCCCCGCATCGCATTCCATGGATTACGTTTTGCGCAATTGATTTCGGCGACGATTGTGGGAGGTATTATGGCATACTTTATGTATTATTTGCGTACGTACATATGCATATATGCATCGCGTTGAGAATCGATGTGAGAGAAGAATGTGTGCTGACAAGCGTCTAGGAGCTGAGCGAATTCCAATCCCATGGACTTTTATTGTGCTGTTGTCGATATCACTTGCGACAGTCGCTGTCCTAATTCTTACGATCATCCTCTATAATTTTACATATTTGTCGCCAAAATTCAATTGTTTGCTGAATGGTACGGCGTCAATTTTTTGGATGTTGGGCTTTGCGTTGTTGAGTTGGAATCTCAGTAATACGTTGAAGAAGAGTTGTGATTTGCAGACTTGGAGGAGTGGTGTAGCAATCAGCGTCTGTAGGGAATATAAGGCTCTATGGACATTTACTTTGGTTGGGACATTGTCTACATTGGCGGCACTAGCTTTGGACATTTGGACACACAGGAAGACTACAGAGAGAGGCGTTTATGTTTTGCCTGAGGATGATAAGAATGCGGCCATGTTGAAGGATAAGAATGGTAAAAACAGTCAGACCAAAGGGTATGAACCCAGTCGGGGAGGAGCTTTCGAAGAGGAAATCGATATCGCTTACCACAATCGATATGGTGATAACGCATTGGAGAGTGTGGGATATCATGACAGAGTGCTTCACAAATAGTTGGGTCGAGAATACGATGTAACGAAGATGATCAGATAGGAAAGAGGTTGTGACCACTGCGCAACTTATTTCATGAATACTAGGTGCTAAATTGCATAACTTTGGAATGTAATTCATTTTTGTGAGACTTCGTAGCCTTCTACGTAGGGCGACTTCTTACAGAATAAGACTGTGTAGTGTATTTTTGAGTAGTGCGTCTACGCAAAAGAATAAGAAATAAAATAAAGCCAATGTCTATTCACACGAAACGGAAGGCTAACCAGTTCGCCTCTCGAGTTTCCCCAGTACTCAATCCGAGCATCTTCTAAGGCTCATCTAAGCTTTCCCCACATGCGTCTTCATAACGAAAGAATAAAAGCAGCTTATGTTCCACAAAATATCTCAGGAAATGAACTTCTCCATGGGAATATAGTTGCTTTTCACCTATCGCTAGCCGCGGCATCGTAAACCTTCAACCAACAACCTCTTTCACGGTGAAATTTTACCCGAGTGTGAAAATCCTTCCGGAAGGCTTGTGTTGAGCAAAACCTTAATTTTTCCCATGGCCATACCCAGGTGCCTTTTCCTGAATACCGCAAATACGAATTGCCAATCCCAGTATCTTACCTGCAGGTGAAGGATGCGAAATCTGTCAAGCATCAATAGCAAGCCTCATCGATTTAAGATCTACCTTGCAATGAGCAGTTGGGATCTTTGATTGATGTCACGGGCAAGAGCGGGAGGCGTGCCGAGAGCGCTCCATTCTGCTGTTCTAGGCCTGCAATTATCAGTATGAGACCAACAAGTGTCGGCACATGATTGGAATTTGGAAATATGCAGATGAGATTGATATATTGGAAAGATGGAATAGTGAGATTGACACCCGGTTCACGTCGTATTATTACGGAGGCATCCATCGAATGTACCATGTTATCGGCCAAAGGGAGGCCCCAAAACACAAGACAGGTCATATTGAAAGCGAAAATTCACATGATTCGCTGGTGGAAATCTCACGGAGAAGGACGAGACTGCCGGCGGAGAGCTTCTACATTTCCTATAGGGCTGCGACGTAGCGACAGAACAGGATTGTTCTCGGTGGTCACTAAAATCAATTTCTCTTCTGTGATTGGGCTGTTCGGGGTACGAAGGCAAAAGAGAAATTGGCATTACTACGGGAATGCATGCGCCATATTAGATCCACCACTCACGAGTCTTCAAAAACGGGTGATGTTTGACAATAGGTTACCAAGATATCGGATCACATTGAAGAATGAATAATTGAGCCGTCTTACATTAGTAAAAACGGTAAGCCATGGCCGCAATTAAGCTTTCCATCAGGTGAGTGGATTCGAAGCGTGGGTACCAGGTATGTTGATCAAAGTAGCATTATATATGCTTAATTGCGCCCGCGCAGCTTTGTTCTGACAACCTGATGGCAAGATTGACGATTTACTTTGACTACATATAGCATGGGGGGCGAAGAAGCCCTAGTTTTATATGGTGGTCAGCATTACCTGCAAAACCTTGGAAGCCTATCTAGGTATTCAGAGTGACGAATTAACACGAATGGCAATAGATAAACAATAACTTCAGGACTCCAGTTGCTGCAAAATTGTTCATACCTAACAGAGATTATACTCGCTCTATATTCTTGGGGAAATAAGGTTTCATACTGCAACATCAGACCTTCATTCATAGATCCCCTCTTTTTGCCAAGCACGGACAAGCTCATTATCTATAACAATTCATCCCGATCAAGCATCTATGTCCGATTACTCCTTATCATCAGGGCCTGGAATGGCAGGGTCGTCGAAGGAGGCTAAAGCAAAATCACCTCATCGATATAGAATATGCGGAACACCTGTGCGAACGGGTTGCAGGACTTGCAAGTAAGTGAACTCATTATGGAGCTTCCTTGAGAATTCCACTCACATGCAGAACAGAATTCGTCGAGTCAAATGTGGAGAGGAAAAGCCATTTTGTAAGAGGTGTACTTCCACTGGACGGCATTGTGATGGATATGAGATTATCACAGACTTGAAAAAACGAAATACCACAAAGAGAAGACCTTCCATACCGGCAGGTGTGCAGTCCAATAAGTCCCAAGACCCTTTAGAGGCGACTATGCTGGATTTCTTTCGTACGTATACAGTAGCCGAGTTTGCCGGAGACTTCTCTACAGAGTTCTGGGAAAGGAGGATTTTTCAAGCTGCTACCATCGAGCCGTCAATCCGTCACGGTATTCTCGCACTGGGTGCCATCCACAGAAATTACACCGAAACCTACCAGCAACCTCAGACCATAGCAGAAAAGCCAACACCTACACAGGCTTTTGCTTTCCGTCAGTACACAAAAGCCATTCAAATTTTACGTCAATCAATAGTACGCGAGCCTCACTCACTAGACATGACATTGATTTCATGCATTTTGTTTATCTGTTTCGATTGTCTCGTAGGCGATCAAGCCGCAGCACTGGTTCATCTCAAATCAGGACTGAAGATCCTCGACGATATAAATGCCACAAATGCACCCTCCTCAACTGCAGCACAATGTGCACGGGATTATTCCCCGCTATTGTTAGTACTAGGGGGACAAATTGCCGCATTCATCAATCCCAAAGCTGGAGTAGACAGAGGAGCATTCTGGGCAGCGATGAAACGAGCCGGTTGCTCAACTTCCCAATTCACCCCTTTCCAGTCATTGGAAGAGGCTCGCTATTCATTGCGAACGCTTGGTGCAGATATACTGCATGCGCGTCATACAAATTGGAACTACGTTACCGAAGAAATAGTCACGAGTGAATTTGGCCCCATGGTACGAAGCCACTACATGGCGTTAGAGAATTGGTCAAATCGTCTAAACGCATTCATCGAAAGAACTTCAAGCAATCAAGAAAACATAGCCGTTGCCTCGACAAGACCAATCCGCATTCGCGGCGTATCATTACTTAGAGCCCACCATCTCTTATTCTCCATGAACGCCGCAGAATCGCGTACGCCCAGGTCCAAGTTCGAAGAAATGCTCGATTTATCCGAGGCCCTGATTCTAGAAGATAAAGCTTATTGGAAATCGCAATCCATGCCAAGGTTTATGGTTGATACTGGATTAATTGTTCCACTGGTGTATACAGCGGTTCGCAGTGCTGATATTCAACATAAAAGAAGAGCAATCGAGATCTTGTCACAGGCGCCTGGAAGAGAGGGGTTATGGGATACGCAGTGTGCGATTGATATTGTAGAGGGAGAGTTGGCCGCTGCAAGAGGCCAGAGTCCGAGATTTCAGATCCCGTATTTTCATGATTAAGAAGGGAAAAAATGCAATAGTAGTAGGTCATGTTTTCTGTGTGGGTTACAGAGCAGGTCAGGTCAATCTTTCATATCACATGGATGATTGGTCGATCGGCCAATAGGCCACAGGTGCTTTTTTCAGGTGCGTGATGTCTGTCACTGAACATATTCGTCTCAATTCAGATACATGTATTGATCTGAATATGGGTGGAAGGATTACAGGGTGCATTTCCGTAGCCCTCTGCATTTTTTTTTGTGTTTGTAAAATACCAGTGTTATTTCATAGATTTCACTTGAAATGCAGATTCAAACAATCGTTTCTTCGTCATCTATCAAGAAAAATTTACTATGTGAGATAAATCTCGATTTGAAGTATATACTCGTGGTAGGATGTCTGAGGGTGTTTAAGTGTCATACTGAGCTCTTACGAAGTATAACACCAAACTGAAGCCAAGCGATAAATCCCCTAAGCCACCCCAACCACCAGGATTTCCACCACATCTTGGCAGCGATACACAAATTCCTATTTTCGAATCCTCTTAAACTCAAACCCCCATGAAGACAACAGTACACTACTCTGTAGACTACCGGAAGGACCCTTGGGCCTGTGTACTCGTCTGCCTACAACGATCTCCATCCAAACCACAACTCACTAACTTACCAAGAACGATTTTACGTAGGGTTGCTGGGGTTTCAACAGGGGGATGATGACAGAATGGTGGGATTGGTAGATAAGCTTAAAGAATCTGCATGGTGATATATACTCCGTAGGGAGTGTTCCTTGATATAGCCCGTGACTACAAGCTACCGGTATGTAGATGACAAGCAGGGCAGCACGCTTGAGCTTTTGAATTTCCAGCTTATGGAATTTGTATCGAACCATCAGTTGAAAAGTGCACAGTGCATAGTAGGTGACTTATGTGCGACTTTCTTGGTGCCGTCAGAGAAGAGTATCTCGGATATAGCTATAGCTAAAGGAAAAATGAAGAACGATAGTTATCGAGTGCGAATACTGTACTTTGCATCTCAAAAGAGAGCTATCATATTGTTTCTTTTAGATACACAACCTACAGCTGCGATATGCCTCACCGTCAATCAATTTCCCAATTGAGCCAATCGAAAGAAGATGACGATCCAATCATCGGGAATATATGGCGGGGGTCCTGGTTTCAGTGTGGAGCTACGCCGCACAGCACCCTCGCTATAACGTGTTTTGGGCCCTTGACATGGTATCTGCAGATGCAAATTTCCAACAATAGCACAGAAAAGGGTTTTCTAGGTCGCTGGCCCTCCATATGTTACCAGCAAGAGTGGAATTTTGTGAGGACAAAATTGAGAGAGAGGAAGAAAGAAAGATGGAAGGATTCGATTGTTTTCTTGTTCAGCTACCATGTACTTGTTTTTGACCGGGAAGCTTTTTTTAGCCTGCGAAATTATGAAGCCTGTTTCATCATGGAGCATACCACTCTCAGCCTCCAGCCTTATCGCAATCGTAGAGTTGCGTTGCCATTTTGATGTTGCTGATAAAGATCTAGAAGTGTGATTGACATTTGGACGCGAATTGGCAGCTCTAGAACTACGCATCTCTCGAAATGGCGGCGAGGTTTTCGAGATTGTTTGATGATTGGGATCAGGATCATAGGGATATAACTATGCTAGAGTATGGGTAAGAGAAGCTTAAATGTTTTCTTAGTTTTAGCTTTCGGCGCATTGACTGAGGGGAACAAATTGTCATCGGATGAACATTAGATTGAATATTTGTTTGCTAACACTTCAATTGGTGTTTTGACAGCTCTAGTGTTAACGACTCACCACCGAGATATCATTCTCGGCAAAACAGCAGCACAGAATATATATCTCCGTCAGCAGATCTATCCGAGAGGCCAGATTTACCAGAACCAGTCCTCGAATCTACAACTCCTTTTTCACCATTCGACGATGGGATATCAACTCGACGTTTACTGGATGGTAGAGGAAGTTATGCCTCTAGTTACAGCCCATCTTTTCCCTCCGCACACGACTACCAAGCTTTGAAAGATGTAGGTCGAGATAGTATTGTAGATGATCCATCTCCAAGCGAAGCACGTCTGCGAAATGGCTCTGGCGTGACTTCGAATATGAAGAGGATGTGGACGAAATCGACAGCTTTCACAAAACCCCGTCCTCAATCTTCATTTGATGGACATTTTGCGCAGGGAAAAGATGGGTGGTGGAAAAAAACAAATGTTGGTGGATCGAAGTTTAAGATCAATGGCGGGGTTTACACTTCTTTGTGCGATTGTTATGTTTATCATAATGATTGTGTACTTACCTGCGTTTAATTCTCGGTTGAATAAACAAAGTACGAGTGTCGGCGGAAAGGAAGGGGAAAGCTGTGAGAGTATGGAGAGGAGGAATATTGTGAGTGGGATTGTTAGATACAAGGGCTTGGGGAGCTTGCTAATGGGTCATTTGTATAGGCTGTTCATCTGTTCATCAACATTGCAGCGACTATGATTCTGGGTTGTTCAAACACCTATCAGCAGTTGGTAACTGCTCCGCTAGTTGAGGAGATTCCATTCATTCTCTCGAAAAATGGTGATGCAAAATGCGGTACGAACTCACCCTGGAATATCAATGTTAAGAAATCAGGAAAATTAAAGGCTTGGGGATCATGGTTATTACTTATTTGCACTTCAATTGTATGTTTCAAGCGAGCTCTCGATGAAGGGGTACTTTTGTTGATTGTTTTACAGCCAATTCATTTCCTCGCAAATTCGGTCATTGGACCTTCGTTTTATGTTGAGATGCCAACGAATGTTACGTATCTGTACAATCAAACTTTCTCTCTGAATTCTTATCAAGCGTACTACTACGATACGTCTTCCCACTTGGCATCGTATGACTCTGCATGCGTAAGTCGAACTTCTTTTTCGGAGCTTATTGGGGAGTATTAGGCTTTTGGAACCTGGGGATTTTGACAGTCTGGATTGCGACCCTACAAAGGGAAGTCTCTCACCTGAGGAGCCAGTCAGAATGTTCGCATCAGTGATACGTGATCTAGCTTCCCCCCCCCTTTTTTTTCTTCGGAGATTGCAATTTGACATCCAGTCTGTTGATTCTAGCCGTTGCACATCCGGAACTAAATCTACAGCTAAGCTTTCCCGGATTTTCGGTTGCTAAACTAACGAAAATCACAAATAGTGGACTGCTTTTAGAGCTGGGTTATATGTTTTGCCTAACAACATGTCTCAATTGAGTGACCAATACAATACTAATGCCCTCGGAAACTCGAGTGAGTACTCTCAATTCTGTTCTTAGACTGATGAGCGATACTGACAAATGACTTGTAGCGTCTTTCGAAACCGTTTTGGTCACCTACAATCAGAATTGTACAGAATATAAAGGAACAGGCACTGTCGATGAAGCCCTGGCAGAGGTCAATTACACTGGCTCGTATGCTTGGTCGGGCCAGTATTCCAAAGGGAACTGTGCCTTGCGACGAGGTGTTTATTGTGAACTCCAAGACCAGCTACCTAAGAAATGTCGATTGAATGTTCGGATGCAAGCTTGTTTCAGTACGTACTCCCTTTTGTCGTGAATATATGGAGTCATTATTCTGACGATTGTTAGCACTTTTCGGGTGTCTCCTAATTAAAGCCATGTACATGATCGGACTGAATTATCGAGCGAGACACAGGGTTAAGAATCACTGCTTGACGTATGGAGATGTGATAGTTGCATCTGTCATAAATCCGGATTTGAAAATTCATAATGAATGCTTACTCAATTCTGGAGATGGTTATCGACATAAGGTGTCACACCAATGCCATAAGCATTGTAAAGACCTCATTCCTTCGACGACGGGTGATAATATAGGTCACTGTCAGGTACTGTGATCTTTCCATTGCCTCCTGAATCTTACTAATCTCCCATGCTCTCATAGAAATGCAAGAAGTTCAATGAGACTGACAAAGCTGCTGGTGAGTTCTAACAAGTTCTTCTGTATGAATTTGTATCTGACACATCTAGATTTACCGCATCCAAGCATAGCAATCAAATACAAACGCTCACTCCTCTCCAATCTTGGTTCCACCGCCATCACTCAGATGATTATCCTGATGTTTTGCTCCTTCGCCATGGCTGGCGTGTCCATCATGCTCATTACTCTCATGGTCAGCAAGACAACAGATTACAACCATTACTGTCGCAATCCCGATTATAACCGCGAGTACTACAGAGAGTGTGATATTTCACTCTCGCAAACTCTCAAGGAAAGCTTTGGAACCTGGGGGGGCTTCTCTTCTAGCGTCACGTTGGCAGCGCTTCCTTCTGACAAGATCAGTAGTGAATTGATTGCCTTTGCTATCTCCAACGGCGCACAGTTTCTTTTCAGCTTGCTTTATTTATTGCTTATCTATAACATCACTCTCATATCCATGGAACACGAATGGGGCACCTTCGAAACCGAACGCAAAAAGCCCAGAGCTACCATCGTATCGGGAACCCCATTTGAGCAATCATATTTTCTGCAACTGCCCTCCAAAATTCTTCTCCCTCTCATGACCTTTGCAGCAGCCATGCACTGGCTCCTCGGCGAATCAATAGCAACCTTCGAATCCATCTACACGGATCCAGCATATGGGGTTGAACACTCGGTCTACTATGTCACGTATGCCGCGTACCCAATCTTCCTGAGTACGGTGTTGATGATTGGCCAGACGGCGATTTGTTGGTGGGCTTTTACGTATCGGAGAGAGGGATTCATTCCGCAGATGTATGGGAGTATTCGGGCTTGTTGTGCGAGTACGAGTGAACTTGAAGATTTTGGGAGGGGGGGCATTCAGTGGGGGGATTGTGAGTTTTTTTTCTTCTCTCTCTCTAGTTTCGTTATTATCCTGGATTTTTAACTAATTCGTTTGCGTGTGATAGTGGGAATGGGTGAAAGATTTAGACATGCTGGTTTCTCGGCTGATGGTTTGTAGTCCCTTTCCTTTTTCCCTTCTTCCTATCTCCAATATTTCGATCCCTATTCCCTCTCATTCGACTATCCTCCCTCTGATTTATCCGCCCATGCATACATATATACTAACTCCCCCCCTCTAGAACCGGGTAAAATCATCCCCGCAGAACTCTACTGCGGTCGTGGGTAACAACCAATATCCAGTTCCTAATTCCCAATACCCAATCCCTAATTCCTAATTCCCGATACCCATGTACAAATATAAACAAACAAACAAACAAACCCACCGATTTAATACCCAATTACGAAGTTATGATTTGGAAATTATATATAGTCGTTTGTTTTATTTTTGTCTAGTTGTGGATTTGCGAATTGAATGAATCGAGATGAATTGAGTTGAGTTACCTATATACCTAGGTCGGGACTTTGTATTTATATTTGTATTTATATGTATATGTATATTTCACACATGTTATAATTATAAATAGCAAGCATGAAGACATAACAACAAGAGGGAGAATATCCACTCTATTAACAATATCAAACTACCTACTGGATATGATTGATACAGCCGTGGACTTTTGAGATAGCGAGGGTGAGAGAGATACAAAGAGTGTTTAATCCAACGAGAATTCTTTCTTCTTAGGAATATCGTTATTGAATTGAGTATCGGGATCGCTAACCTTATGGATTGAATAATTGGATAATTGGATAATTGGTGCTTAGATCGGAGTTCGATTCTATCCATGTCTATTGTTGATTCGAGTTTTCTACACTCGGTGATTGGATATGAATCATCAAGACGAGATGATGAAATTCTGAAGAATATCCATTCTTTTTTTTTTTTTATATAGAAGATTTAGGAGATGCGGGTGCCACGGGATATACTTTTGATATTATTGGGATTGATTGATTGAGCTCGTTCTACTGTATGAGATCCATGTGAGAATTATGAGTATAAATGTGAGGAGGTGTTTGGATAGAGATTGGAGATTGGAGAATGGAGATTTGATATGAGTATGAGTATGAATGATTTGCTGAAGAGGAAAGCCAAATCACAATGGAGATACAAATACAAATCCAATTCAAATTTATAGAAAAGGTTTATTATTACGGCGATCTATATCGCTGCTATGAAACGTACGCAAGTAAACTAGAGTACACCAAAGCGCCAATATGTAGTATGGTATCTCTCGCTTGAAAAGTACAGATGGTATAAAGGAAATGGAATGTCGTAGCGGTCGTGTCATTATGTAAGTCCTCCCTGTCCTCTCCTCTCCTTCCATTACCAGATTCATTTTCATCTAGTCCATCGATTCGCTTCCCCATCTTCCTTGCCTTTCATCAAACTCCACTCCCATCCATCTCAGAACCAGGATATCCCCTAGTATCTGCTGCGTCTCTGCCAAAAGTGTCTCTTAGCCGGTCTCACACCCCCGACATAACCCTTCTCTCCAATCGCACTCCTCGTCTTCTTCTTATGCATTCTCTTACTCAAACACGTAACAAACACGACGACGGCGCCCAAAAATCCCGCAATCATAGCCGCCAAGATACACCAGATACCCACGCTGAAATACGCATGACTTCCACTTCCATCTCCATTGACATGGTTTTTGATGATTCCAAAGAGCGCAAAATCGCACGCCATGGCTACCAAAGCAATGATGAATGCGATGCTAGAGACGAGAGCCGCGAGGAAAGAACCAATGAGACCGGCGCCGAGTGCGAGGAGAAATGCAATAAACATGACTCCGCATGCGACGGGGTGGAGGATCATCACGCGGGTGAGGGCTTTGGTGGTGTCTTCGCTGGCGGTGCTGAAATCGGTGGATTCGATTTGGGACATGATAGCGGCGGGGTTGTAGCCGATGTGTTTTTTAGTGCAGTAGTCGTTTCCATTTCTGTTTTTGAAAAGAGTTGTTAGTATGATGTTTTTTTATTAGGTTGAGATCTTCTCGTGTTCTCAATGAGATGAAATGAGATGAGATGGGATCGAAGGGAAGTGAAGGAAAGGAAAGGATACTCACGAATCAACATCCAAAACACAATATCCAAAAGTACCAAATGAAACCACGGAATTGTGGGAATCGGTTCCGTTTGTCAATTTGACCTTCATGATTCCGATATCATTGATGACGGGAGCGGAAATGGTGGTTATGAGAAGGAGGATGGAAGATGCGAAGAGCAGAAATGTACCGATGTGGTGGAGGAAACCGGTCGCCATTTTGAAGGTTGGAGATTGAGTTGATGATTGGGTGTTTATTTGAAGATGTAGAAGAGTATGAGAAAGAGAGAGAGAGAGAGTAAAATAAAGTCCAAAGTCAACTAACTTTGACTTTATTCAAGTCTGGATAGATGGATGGATAGATGGAAAGTTACTTTGTGTGTAGATATTCTGTCACAGAAAGAAGAAAAATAAAGGGTCTCTTAAGCTTTTAATATACCTATTATATTCTTGTAACCAACCCAAGCTACTCCAGAAGTCAAGAGAAAGTGACATATGAAAGTGGTGCGTTGGTCGCATATCTTGATTCTTGATTTGAGACCTCCCTATTGGAAAGAGAAGGGGAAAAAAGGTTCACAAACAAGGAAATAAAATATTAACATGGGTGGGTCAGCAGGGTGGTGGTGAGATAGATTGATTGATTGGGGGTCTTTTTCTTGGGTGGCCTATCGTCATAGCTTTGGCCTTGGTGTGGATGGGATTGCATGTACCGGTATGCATGTGGTGAAAATACTACGTAGGTACCGAGGATGTGAATTCTGGGAGTGAAGACTGATTACTTCCGTGGAAGGGATGATAGAGTGAAGTGAAGTGAAGTCTGATATTGATTTTGTTAAGGTTATTCCTGAGTTAAGTTTCACATCATCCGAACCTTTTTGGACCAGACACCAGTTTATGTCATCATGTCATGGTCATGCCTAGGTGCGAAGGCGTCAAAACGTCAGCCATTTTAGCCGATACTGGGGAAAACTAAACAACGGGCGAGTGCACTAGGTAAAGACTTGGTAGTGGTAGCGTGGGTGTAAGAGAATAATTGAACTTCATGTTTACAGCCATTAACATCAATTATCTAATGAGTACCTACATACTAGGTATCCAAAATACTCCAAATACATTTATGTTTATTCTACGAAACCAAAGTATATCTTCATTTCATCATTCCTTCACGTATTACCAGGTACTTGCCCGTCCGTCCGACCAAGTGTCACCTAATCAAAAAAAAGAATAAAAAAACTTGCCGGTTCCCCTGTAAGGCTGTACGACCCTTTATCATTAAAGTATGAAGTGATAAATGATAAATGACGTCGTAGATTCAGGGGTTCATCGAGTGGCGTGGTCCCTACAGAATACCTAGAACCTAGTAAGTACTCTTGTCTATTTATTACGATTCGGGAACGTCTATGAGTTTAGGGCTTTATGATTTCAGATGAGAAAGTTCTGGAATATATTAAATACTTTCCTAACATTGATGATATGCTTAATCAAGAATGTAAACAATACACATGTACACGTGTTTGACGGGTATTTGAGATTCGATTGAAACCTACGATACCTAGTACTAGGTATTATTTGTTTGGGATACTCTGGGACGGCACTCAGTATTGTCCTGGCTCCCTGGCAGCCCGGGTAGAAATTGGCAAACAGGTGCCACATTAAGTTCCATCTGCCGTGTGTCTAGTAATATCGGAGCCAAAAAGACTAGCTTAGTCATGTGATAGCAATGATAGCATCTAAAGCCACCCCTCAGAAATCGCTAAGATCAATTTGCAATTAACTTTCGTGCTCAATCAATCAACTACATCATCATAAAAAAGGGATCAAGGAAGAAATTGTCACATTCTCTCCATCGCCAACACGGTTATCGTGCATTCTATGAATCATGCAGAATCGCATCAGCACGCTATCGTACTCGAATCTCATTCATAACATTACAACTCAAACCCAAAGCAAGGGAAGTTGGTGGAGCTTTGGTTTTTTGGGTCCAAAGAGAAAGACGATACCATTTCTACTGTTCGCAACACTAGTCAGTATTTCCTACTTTGAGTACCAGCGGGCAGCAATGAAGACTTTGCGAACGAGTGGGACAGTACTAGCAAGCAATTGTTCACTCACTCCGCATGATTCCAAAGAATACCATCCCCATACGACCAGACCCACAAACCCATCACCAAATCCCCATCAAAACCCATGATAAATCATCATGACCCGCAAGGCTGAGATCAATCTATGAATTAAAGCTTGAATCCAAAGCCAAGACTGAGGACCCATCAAAATGAGAAGTATGATAGCATCAACCTCAATGGGAGTTTCCAGCCAATGTCATTCCATTCCATAGTGTTTGTGAGAGACCAGTGGATGAGGATTCGTGTGCAGGGCAGGTGAGAATGTTGATTACTTCTATGTACTGCTCGCTGAAAGCGTTGTTGTCGTTTATTATCACGTGGCACCCATTTCATAACAAGACTTTCATGAACAATTATACATTTTCTATTCTATCATGGCTCAAATACTATCAACAGTGTCGAGTACTGTCAAATATCGCTTCAAAGTTTTATGTATAGAATGAAAACTCCTCATTGGAATCAGCCGAGCACCGCTTCGACTACAATCAATCGTCAGATAACTCGAACTACATCACAGTATCTCGCCCACCAAATATTCAACCACACGCTAACCTTCACCAACTTCGCTCAACTCAAAATATACAACATGAATATCAACTTATATACAACAATACCTCCGAGGTTCATTCCCTAAGTCAATTTAAGAAGCGCCTTCGCATTCTCGTATGCCAACTTCGTCTTGGTAAGTGTGTTCATCTCCAAACGGTCAAACCATCCCGCAATCTCCACCGTATCCTCAAATGGATAATCAACACTGAACATTACTCTATCCTCTCCTGTTCTCTTAATGGTATCCACCACAGTTCCTGCATCTTGTACGCCCGCAGTTGTAACCCAGAAATTGCGGAGCCAGTACTCTTCCATCGTAAGGGTGCTGTTGAACAAATCTTTATTGAAATGTCTCAATCGCTGATCAATCCGTGGAAGGAAAAATGGAAGTCCCTCTCCACAATGTCCGAGCACAATTTTAAGAGTAGGATATTTATCTAGAGTTCCTGATACCATAAGACGAAGAGCATGAGCACCTGTCTCGGAGGAAAATCCCCAAGGAGATGAGCCCAAGAATTCATAGCCTTTGACACTGAGAAGTTGGCTAGGGGCTGGCATGCGGGGATGCAAGTAGATGGGAACATCTAGCTCGACTACTTTTTCGAGGAACGGCTCCATGCTTGGGTCATCGAGATAGACGATATCATTTGCGGTACCGTTGATACCTCCATTGTTGGTGTAGCCTCCGACAAAGGACCCGACGCCTCCGAGTTCTTTGACACAGCGTTCGAGTTCGGTGGCGGCGTTGGCGGGTTCTTGAAGTGCATTGCTGCCTATTGATCTTGTTAGTCTCGTTGCAAGTACAAGGCAGGCAGATGTATGTTACTTACACCAAAACTCAAATCTCCCCGTGTAATTCGCATTATTCTTATAATTCTTATGCAAATAATCATTCACATATCCGGCGGCATAAGTCGCATAGGTAGCATTGAATACTCCCTGGATACCCGGGCCTCCAAATGTCAAAACGGAAATGCTAATGTTTGCGGCATCCATATTCGCAATGCGCGAAGGAATATCGAGCATTTTCTCACCTACATCGGCGATGTAGACGGAATCAGAGTATTGAGGTTCATTGGTGTTGGGATAGTAAGGCACGGTATAGAGACCGTTCAGGAGATCATTGCCAACATGTTCTTCGAGGGCAATTTTACCAGGAATGGATGTTGAGGCATCGTAGAAAGTTGGACGACCAGAATTCAAGACGGTTTCTTGAGGTGTGTAGTCTGCAGCTGATATGGAAGAAGGAGTGAGAAGAAGAGTTGCAAAAGCAGCTTTTCCAAAAGTACGAACGAACGACATTATTGCAAAGTATTGAACAAAAAACACACTTAAACTCAAACTCAAACGCTATTCACAAACACACATTCTCTCAAACCCAAGACCTCTAGAAAATCCTCATCTATTTATCTCTCTCCCTCTCTCGCCATCTATCTCGCCTCCCAAACCCTAAAATTACAACCCGGAAGCACATTACTCCATCCGGACGCGTCCACCCGCATCCCTACTCCCACCACGCCCCGCATTTCCCCATACGCATCTTTTGCACCGCCCTTTCCGCACCTATTTCTATAAAAGCTTCTTTCCCCGGCTGCCCCTCCGATACCCGAACTAGCATCTTCATCCTTCCCCCTCTCTGATTTGAGGAATTGCAAATTACTCAATCTTATTGATTTCGTGTTTGCCACACGTTTTATGCAGATGCAGATCGGAAATCAATATTTATAATATATAGTATCTAGTCCCCCTAGATAGGAGTGCATGTTTTTGATACTAGGCCACGGAAACGAAAATAACCTGATCCACATCTAAGAAAAGAAGCTTTGGTCCGAGTGGACGGATTCGTTATTTACGGTGTAGTTCGATTCATTGGGTCTGTTCTGCATTGATCGAGAATAGGCCGGTTCTGGTTCGGGTTTGCGGGTCTGATCTGGACCTCTCTCTCTGAGTATTTGTATTTGTATTAATTGTGGTATGTAGAAAGTGTTGATATCTTGAAACGCATGATTGGATTATTCTGATATGGTATTGTGTATTCTATCCGGATTTCCCGAAAAGTGGACGGCGCTTATTTTCAGAAATTGATTAATATCTGAGATTGTTTGAAGGGGAATAATTTTTTATATACCCTAGGTAGGTAGCTGTCGCTTTTGATTGATGTGGTACAAGCAACTAAATTTTTGAATTGTCGCATTAATATTTTCCCATCGTTGTATGTACTGAGTAGTGCTATGACTTTATAATGATTGCAATGAATGTTTGATTAGGATGTATATTTCATTTCTAATTATGTCGTCGGGATTAAGAAGCTCAAGGAGTGTCTGATGATGAAGAAAGATATCTCGAATACTCGGGATAAGAGTAAGTAACTAGAAAGGAATGAAATCGACAATTTTGGGTATAGAAAATACTTCCTGGTCACAAGTATGACTGTCGTTGCCCTTTAATGCGAGTTGCCCTCGGATGGATGTTAGCATACTGCTGTCTTGTTAGGTGCCAACGCACATGTGCTCAGCCAATCAATCCTCTTTGATGAGTATGTTACACAAATTTTCATATATGTAGAGGGTCGCATTCACGGGACTGCACCACGTATCTACGAATTTATTTAGGCTTTTTCTTTGACTTCATCTCCAGCAACACATACACCTCTTGAGTAAAGGATCGAATTGCGAGTGCACGAACATGTCGAGCTCTGTGCCTGAACCAATTTACTCTATTCAAGAGGTCTCAGGTAAGGGAAAAGGACTCATCGCCACACGAACAATCCCCATGGGCACATGCATCCTTGCCGAAGAGCCCATCATCCCGGAGGTCGCTTCTGATACAGCAGTCTTGCGAGCATCTATACGTAAACAAGTCGAAGCGCTCACTACAAACAAGCGACAAGCCTTTCTCTCCCTGCACAATATCTATGCCAACGACGCTACTCGCCGCACCTAGGAATCATCCGAACAAACGCTCTACCCTTTGGAAATTCTGTAAGAGAAGCTGGAATATTCATACATGCATGTCGCATCAATCATGCCTGCGATACCAACGCCCAAAAAGGCTGGAACGCGAATACCCATCGCCACACCATCTATGCATGCGAAACGAGACATTGAATCGGGTGAAGAAATCACAATCTTCTATCTCGGGGTCCTCAACAAGCGCGAAACTCGACAACAGAGATTGCGCAGTAAATTCGCATTTATGTGTTCATGTCATCTTTGCTCCCTACCTACCTCTCGATCAAAGCAAAGCGATCGATAGAAAACTCGAGGAAATTCTCAAACTCGACGAACTCAGCAGCCAAGACGGTATGAGGGGAGTCCTCTCTGTCCCCTTGCTTAAACTCCGCTACGTGGATCAGCAGGTTCGACTGTACAATGAACTAGGACCCAATGATACCGGTCTCCCCAGAGCTTTCTACGACGCGGCGCAAACCTCCATCGCGAATGGCGATTTAGCCCGCGCAAGAATTTTTGTGGAGAAAGCAGTAAGGGGATGGACGGCTCTTGGGGGTGAGAATAGTCCTAGTGCGTTGCAGTATACAGCGCTGCTGCGAAATCTGGAGAAGCATGAGCTGTATGGGATGTCGAAGAAGTGGAAGATGGCTGTGGATGAGGTTCCGACGGGGCTTGAGGAGGAAAAGTGGGAGAATTGGTTGTGGAGGAGGAAGAAGAAGACTAGAAGGTCGGGAAACCCCTTAAATGTGGCTCTGTAGGAGAGTAACTAGAGAGAATTCCGGGGGTCAGGCATCTGAAGTCAGGAGGCTATGCTTATGTAGCTATGACCGCATCTATGGGTTTCGAGCTGTCGCTGTGATTTGGCCCCAAGTGAAGCTTTGTTCGTTATCACACCGTCATTTGTCCCCATCAATCGACAGCCCAGATATCAGGGATAGCACTATATAATTTTTCGAAGTTGGGGCCAGTCTCATTTCATCGATCCATGATCCCCCATGCGAGTAACATAATTCACGATGACATTTTCCGAAATCCCGATACATATCCTATCTACAAACTCTTTGTTTCTCCCCAACGCTATGGATTGACAATGTTATCATACCTCTGTAGAAAGATTCGAGTCCACGACTTGTGGGTTCTCACGAATGCGAGAAATTTGGTATGTTCGCTTCCCAATTTTCTTCCAGGAATACATGATGTGTGTTGAAGTAAGTGCGGGTATTCACTTGGGTATATGTAGATCATAGATGCAGATTTTGTAGATGCAAAGAGATGAGATGTGATGAGAAACGAAAGTAACAGAGCAATGATCGCAGTACAAGGTCTTGACGAAGTCTTCGGGATATTGAAGGAGGGGAGTTGATCATCAATTCGATATCAGAACTATAATATTTGGTCTGAGAGGACGAGTTCGCATGGGTGAGATTAGATTCCCATTTTAGTTACCTACCTAGACATAGATAGTTATTCCTGGAGTCCCTCAGAATAGATGTCGATTTTGTTAACATGTATCCATTGTTTGGGGATCTGGCATTTCCTGTTATGGTATTTATAGCAACTTTATCAAAGTGCCAGTTGCAATGTAGAAATGTAACTGCGATGTTTATCAATTACTCCCGTATATATCGCAATATTTAGGAGCTCCTGCATGCTGAAAAGGATTAGAGGTACTTCAATTTTAACTATCTCGCATCTAAGCGTACATAAATAATTCTGTATTTCTATACACGTCTTTTTCTACAAAATCCTCTCAGTCCCGTCCCTTTTGCACGGAAATTACGTTCGGAATACTGGCCTCGCGCTTAACTAGCAAAATGGCGCTTGTTTTGGAATGGTAAATTGGAGGTTGAGATACAGTTAAAGCCCATCAGCAACCTACTATAGTAATCTGTACAAGGATTTGTACTAAATCTAAAACGAATTTTTTCGATCTGTTTCTATTATTTCGAATATAAATCGAAAAAAAGGATCTATTCTAGATATAGCTTATTGATGATTAAAGCAATTAGATAATCAACTTTTCAAATATTCAAATGATTATAAGGACTTTCAAAGCTGAAGCCTATATTATAAGTATTACTCCCCTTGATACACAAACCTTCACAATAGTTTGCTATAAGAGTCGCTCTACTCATTGGGATTGCGACGAGTAGACTAAGAATGATTAAAGCCGAGTATTCCAGATGTGTTTGAAGTATTCTTATCGAATCTTTAAGGCTTTGCTAGGTTGCTAAAATCCCAGCAATATTGTGTCTACTATGATAAAAAATTACGTATTTTTCGCTATTGGGCTCTGTAGCTACTATTCGTAATAAATCTGAGAGAATTTAATCATTACACTCGTAGCGACAAACGATCTTAAACAACTATCGTAAGAGATAGTAGACGGGGATTTACTTTTTCATGTATCTTGCAGCGGACGCAGGTTACAACCAGCTTGCCCTGATAATTCTCAATATCGTTTCAAAGGGGGGTCGGCGTGAGCGAGATAGAGGTACTAAAGTTGCCTTGGATTTCTCGTTCTAAAAATCCCAATCTGGCTAGGAACAGTTTTGGAAATATTAGCCGAGTGTACCTATATCATTGCTCGCTTAGAGTCTCTCGCTATAAGATCCTGAGCGCGGAGGTGATATGTAGGATGGGGATTTCTGGAAGCACGGTGTTAAGCATCGTGATTACAGCCGCTGGGTGCTTGAGAAGACTTCTGACATTGAGTTATCCAAAATATTTTGCTCTTCGCTCTCTACTTTGCTTCGGCCACCTCATGATCCACAGATGTATGGAGATGGAAATTTCTTTCGATTTACTATTGCAAATACTTGTTCTTATTAAGTGAGTGCACGGGTAGCCTCGAAGGCTGATCTAAAGAGACTATTCATAGTACAACTGGCGTACGGAAGCCGTGGAATATAGAAAGAAAAATACATCCTCTGTCCTCGCAAGTAACAGATTAATACCTTTATGTTCCATTTTAATTATGATAAAATCACCAGATCTCTCAAAAGGCTCTCTCGGCTTGAATGGAGGGTTCGAGTCACCAGTCTCGCTTGTGTAGGCCTTTCAAAAACCCAATCATCAAGTATAGAGATTCTTCAAAGCAGTTTCATCTCATGGTAATGAACGCCATGTCTGAAACTATCGTTTCTACGAAAATCTTTGTCACGTCCTCAATATCAAGACATGTGTCAGTCGGCAAATTCTCAAACAAAAATCTCTCAGGGGATTATCGCAGGAGTAGACTGTTCAAAGAGTAGCTGTAGAGCAGACTATTGGTCCTGCAGACAGTCTGTAGGTTCTTTGTTTGTAGAGTAGATTATTGACAAGTTCAATTAGGTAAATTGTAGTTAATCTATAGAGAGTTTAGGGTCGTAGATAAATCATTGAATTATGCGGATTTTATTCACTTTTTATTCAAATTTTGAAACACAATTGATCTAAGTTTCAAATTATATTGGTTTCTATACTAATTATACAATTATGTTAATATTAAAAAGATATTGATTCTGACAGATCATTTGTGATTCATTTGTAGGCGGTCTGTGTAAATTAGACTATTTAAAAAGGATTATGGATTGTCTATAGACCGGATAAAGTCTTCAGTAAAGCACCTGTAGAGAAGACTAACTACAGCTAGTCTGCAGGTACAGATTATCTTTGTGCAGCCTATACAAGAGTAATTTTCTGGAACACTTGTGACTGATAGGAAGCTTACGCTTGAAATGCTATCGATCGATTGAGTATTCCTCCAGGCGGAGACCAAATCGGGTAGTCTTATAGCCCTGTGGTGGCAGAATCCGTAGTTGACCAAGCGATTGCTTTGTTACCTACAATAAAATCTTCAATACTTAATTCTATATTGAAATTTTTTTTTAAGATATTAAATAGATCAATTTTATTTTTGTATTTGACGAGAGGATTTTATTTTGAAGGGATTTAGTAAATTTCTTGAATTTGGAAAGCTAATCTAATTTTTAATTTAAAGCAATTACTTTCAAGTAAAAAGTCTATTTGTATTAGAATTGGATTACTTTTCTGTTTATTTGATATATTCTGTATTATATGGTGTAGCAGTAAAGCTTTTGATTGAAAGTAATATAGTACGAGTGATGAACAGACTCCCCTTTAGATTTTCGGCTAATGCTTTTCATTCACTTTTGAATTCCTATGTTCGATCCCTTTTTCTTTTAGTTATTTTTAGTTTCTATTTATTTCTCTGATCTTTTTTTTAGTTTTAATGTATATGTTCTTTCGTTTATCTTTTTTATAACTTTAATATTTAATCAAAGATTTTGAAATCTTCAAGGACTTTCAGAGCCCTTATTTTTTTTTAAAAAAAAACTCAATAATAAATGGGTTACAAAAAGTGTCGATTTTATTTGTTACTAATAAAGTGAGTGTTCCGTTAATGATAAATAAAATATTAATATTATAATATATACAATAAAAATTTGTATGGGGATTTATATTGAATTTCTTTTCGTATCTAGGTATTAACTTTACTACCACAGGGTATATGATCACCGCCCTATTATATATCAAAATAGTCTGTTGAAAAGGATCTTAAGAATCGACTGATTTCAAGGCTTCGAGTCCAAAGTTGAAGTAAACATTCTCTATACTGCTATCATAATTTGCCTTGAATCATGTATCTTCGTTAGCCTGTAATCTCAATAAGCCCAATACTCTATCTCTGTCATCATAAAAAGCTTTCTCAGACGAAAAATTGGCCACGAGATAGAATAGCTTGCATTTCATTAGACGAGTATTGTGTCCTTTATGACCAGTCTAAAGTTCGTGGAAGGGTTCTTGGAGATCACAGAGATAGATCAGAGGCAATTTTGCGATGATCGCAGCTGTATGTATCCTTGCTTTAGATAGCTTGAGCCCGTGTCTACTAGCTTGCGTGTTGTCTATCAATTAGACCAATCAGAGACTGAGCTGTAGCAGACAAGATTGGTCGTTAGAGGCATTACCAAACCTTATGGAAGATCACAATTTTTCTTATCGATCCAGCGTCAAGATGAAGGCCGACGGATTTCGAGCTGCCTGGTACTGTGGCTGACCCCTTCGAAAACTCATGCGTTATTGACGACCTGCGACTCCCACGATTGCGTCAATAGTATTTTACAGACTTTAGACATCTTGAAACGTGGTCAAGCTTGGGCCGAATGGAGTAGTTGCATACAAACTCCTGAACAAATCACCAAAAATTTGAATATTTCACGCATAATCAATGGATCACTATATATATATATAATCCCTGTGTTGATTTGAGGTTGAAAAGTTCGTTCAGTTTGTGGGTGCCATATTCCATGTTAGCCTGAAGCTACTTAGGTAAAAACACGACACTTACGAGCATCATGATGCTCTCACTGTAAGTACAAAGTTATACATCCCCGCCATGTCAGCCACGAAGTGTCTCTCCTCGCCTCCCTCTCGCGGCATATCTCCCAGACCCTAAGTTCCTCGTTCCTCTCAAACCTCAAAATGCCGTTGAAAAAATCGATCCTCGATTAATTCACTTCTTCTCTGGTGACTCTGGTAAAGGGTATGATGGGAGGTCCAAACTAATCACACAGGTCTTATTACTTGATCCTCTACATGAGCAGCAAGCGAAAAACTTACCGTTGAAAGACATAGTAGCACAGGTAAGCGGTCAACATTATTTGAGAGTTGTGCATTGAGTTTGCAGTTGATTTGTCAAGAGGAACCACTTTCTGTAACAAGAGCGAGCCGAGGAGAACAAGCACGAGTGCGT